GTTTGTAGGTGACCAAATACTTATTTTCCACCATTATTTGCAAAAAAATTCTTTAAAAGTCAGACAAAATGATTTTCTCAAAAATTTTTTCACATTTTGTCTCTCATAGTTTAGGTCTACCTATGATGTCAATTACAGGCCTCTCTCATCTTTTTAAGTGGGAGAACTTGCACAATTGGTGACTGACTAAATACTTATTTTCCCCACTGTAAGTACAGTTACAAAAATGAATGTGTCAATACTGTCCTCAGTTTGATGCAAATACAAGGATGTGTGTGTGTCTGTGTATATTTCGCTACCTGGTGAGGACCATTTTCCTGGTACACACAGTCTGGTGATGACCCACTGTTCCTGTTGGTGGTAATAAAGTGTGAATTGAGTTTGGGCTGCAGGTTTGAATGGTAAATGGTCTGAACTTATATAGCGCTTTATCAAGCCCCCTTGGACCCCAAAGTGCTTTAGTTATTCACCCATTCATTCACACACTGGTGTGAGTCAGGTGAACCTGTGAAGTTATAGTTTAGATTAAGGGTTAGGATTAAGCTCTGTAAATGTCCAGTAAATGAATGGAAGTCAATGCAAAGTCTCCATGAGGATAGAAGAACAAACRTGTGTGAATGTGTTCAAGAGTCTACAAGGCTGTTAGCAAAATATCTCATAAACTACTGGAGAAATTTCATTAAAACTGTCAAAAAAGTAACTTATTTACTGTACATTTACAACTGATTATCTTTTTTGTGGTCATCCAATTCCAGATGGCCACCACAGCTAATCGACATTAGCCATCATAGAAATTGCCTTAAGTGGAATTCAACAAATTTAACAGACACTCAGATAAAATAAACCAGACTTAATTCACAACACATGCCCTGAGAGTGACATCTTGTGGTATTGCATGACATTATGCATGATATGTTCCAGGTTGGAAACTGTATAATCTCCACATACGATGATCCTAGTTCAAAAATGAGACAAGAGATGGCGGGTCAAATGCATTCCTTTAAGAAATGCTGACCATTATTTTTTAAAACATTATCTCATCAATGATAGGTTAGATTTGGCTTACTATAAAAACTACATCAAACTAAAAACAAAAATATTTTCAAATAAATATAACAAGAAATTTTCAACAAAATATTTTCACTACATGTCATCCTAACTTTAGAAAAGGATAAAGAATCGGAGGAAAGCTCAGTGTATAATGGACAAAGCAAAAAACTTGAGATGGAGGCTCATAAAACTGTAGCACAAGAAGAAGACATAAATCAACTCTACACAGAATTCTGCTGAGTCCTCTGAGCTCAAACTACTTATTTCTGATGGACAGACTCCGATGCGGAGCGCCTTTTGTGGCTAGACGAGTCCAAGTTTCTGCTTCTGAGGGAGAAAAATGTCAGCTTCTATGTGCCAAATAGACAAAGATGATTGAGGCTTTTCTGTGTGAGCAAAATATGTGATGATTCCGAGCTGAGTCAAAGCTAATGTGATGGATAATGTGCAAATGTGTGTAAAGATTCCATTGATCAAGAGGTGCCTGAAAGAAATCTAAATACATTTTGGTTCACCTCCATCAATACAGAGTGTGTGTTCGACTAGCCTGACTGCAGGAAAAGTCTGACTCAGGTTGAAAATGCAGATCAAAGATGAGAAACAGGCAGCTTCAAACAACTGGTAGAGCTTGACTGACTTGAAAAACAAGAACCCTCAGTTCTAAGTAAAGTGTGGAAAAAGTCGTGATTTAACAAATCAAAGAATATGCCTTCTCTGCTTCAAATTCAGTGTCACGGATGTCAAAGATTCCCTCAGCATTTTTTAGGGATAATTAGGCCATTTTAAGTGGGGTTCCATRGAAAAGTTCCAATTTGTATTTTCTTTGTTTAGGATAACATTCTGAAACCTGCTGTTGAAAGGATACTTTCTACTTCTGATGCTTCTCCAAAGCCTGGTTAAATGGTGATTGTGTTGTTCAAAGACATAAAACAGTTATATAGATCTACAACTGCCTTGTTGGATTGTACAACTGTCTCAGCATGAAACAGAACAACTCTAACCTTTCAAAATGTATTGTATTTATGCATGTATAGATGAAGTGATTAGTGTGTGTTGGTATGACTACTTGATGAATTGAAAAACACTGAAAAGCTGACTGGGGGAAATAGAGCTAAAAAATTAAGATGATCAAAACTAAAGTGACAAAGAGTCACAAACATAAAAACTCAAATACAGAAACCAAACACACAAGGACACTTACAAAACTAGCCGTTAGGTCATCAGTCGGGTCAGAATTAGCCTGTTTCTCCAAATTAGAGCTGTTCAGGGAGCTATAAAGAACAAATAAGATATTTATTTAGAACATTGACACAAAACTCCCCTTCATAATGACTAAACTATTCATTTTAATACAATAAAGATGGTCAGTAATAACAACCTTAAATCTTTTCCTCTTTATCTATGTGTGTAGGTCCTTAAAACAAGCCACATGATTGTTTTTGCTGTGTTTAAGAAAGTTTTGATTATTTTTATTGTAAACTGAAGCTACATAGGAATTTTCATTCTTTGTAAATCTCTATTTTTCTCTCTCCTGATTTCTATTAGTGGTGTCAGAATGAGCAGCAGGACGGCCCAAGGCCGCCTGGAGGTCCTGCAGATCTACCGCCTGCTGCAGTACGTCCTGGAAGGAGACCTGGAACAGATTGAGAATATGGTAAAGTTTGGAGTGAAAAATCTCATCAACCTCACAGAGCCACGGGACGGCACCGGGGTGCTTCATGTGGCAGTTACAGCCAATAATCTGGGTAAAGACAGTTTTATCAAACAATATTAAACTCAACATCTAAAGATAGTTTAATGTAAAAATCAGTTTGACAGAGGCAAACACTTGAATGTAATCATAGACAAATTCTGTTTTACTTAACTAGAATGTGGTATTCATTTAATGATAATGTGATTCAGTGTTGAGCACCTCAGCAGGTTAGTTATTTTGCCTCAGAACAGTACTGATCAGAACGATGCCTGTTGGTCACAGACAAGTAAAGAAAAGCAGACCTCCATCAGTCTGTGAAACCCAATCAAAGCATTCCAAGGACAAGAGACGGGTAGTGTTTCAGGGTCACCTCACTCTGTTTCTCTACTCTGTCTCTTCTCAGACCTCGTCAACTTCCTTCTCTCTAACAAAGCGCAGCCCAATGTCCAGAACAGACGGGGTCAAACGCCTGCTATGTTAGCAGYTGAGCTGGGAAATGATGCACTGGTGAGGCTGCTAATCCAGAAACAGGCTGACATGAAGCTCCTGGATGCTGAGGGAAAAGGTAGGCAGCTGAAGGAATCCCCCCCGTCACAGTTGTGACTAAAACGATAAGATCTGATTAAAATTAGCTGGTTTACAAAGTGACTAAAGAGACTCGCTTAGGGAAACACAAGGGGCAGTAAGTTAAATAAGCAAAAGTTTGCTTTCAGTAACATTAGTTTTTTTATCACCCACCACTGTGAAATGTGAGTGATTATGTAATTTTCCATGTTGTGCAAATAACTTTAGGAGTCAACCCAATTCAAAATGGCCACCACAGTAAAGTGACCAACACTGAAATGRCCATACCACAGTGAATGGTACAGATATTAGGCGTGGTTGTAGCTGAGAACCATTCCCTAAACAACACACACTAAGCAAGGACAGGTTGCAGGTCATCTTTGTTTCAAAATTTGATATGTAACGTGGAGGGCGATATGCATTAATTCAAWTTTTTTTTAATTTAGCATAATTTTAGGGCATGGATAGATGTTTTTGACAAGACTGAAAATAAGTTAATGTATTTTTAAATGTCACTGTTTAGGTTCTTACGTTCACTACTGTAATCTACTTTACTCTTCCTTCTTTTAGTTTTTTTTTTTTGGTGGGGAAACTCTGAGGTGTAATAGAATAACTTTGGTTTTACCTGTAGGCTTTTCTTTCTCCAGTTCACTTCAGCTCAGTACTACAGCTCATGAAAATTCATGGTGCTTCTATTTAAATATTAATGAGAAGGCGAGATCCCAGACAAGTCCAGTTAAAAAGCCTTAAAGCTCTTCTTCATTCAAAAGCTTTAACGTTTCCACTGTGTTGACAAATCTAGGGAAAAACACMCTTTGGAGAGTGAGTGACCAAGCCTGGAAATTTATAATTCGGTTGAACAGTTTTTGTGTGTTCAGAAAGGATTCAGTTTATTATACAGGCTGTATGTTAAAAAAACATGTTGAGAATTATGTGTGTGTGTGTGTGTGTGTGTGTGTGTGTGTGTGTGTGTGTGTGTGTGTGTGTG